CTTCATAAATGAACACAAAAATAACATACATAAAAATCATCAAATTATAAAGAAATTTGGTACAATAAAATACAATATAATTGTGTATTTTGTAACTTTAACCAACATCACTGTATCCCCTAATTTCACTTTGAAAACCAGTGATGGCATCTTTTTTCGGATACTTCGCACTTCGCACACTCGTTAAATAGTTATAAGGAATCCGAATAACAATAATAACAGATTTCTGATAATATACCTTAAACACTCTGGACAGTAGTTACCACAGTTGTGTTCTGTGATTGTTACGAACACGTTGCGAATTAGAATAAAGTAAACAGAAACATAAGTTGCAGACGCTGAAATTAGTTGAACTTTTTGATGCGTATTGTCAGTAGGCAATTTTTTGATTGACTGCCTGAAATCATGTGTACTTTTCAAGGAAATAATTTCTTAACATTAACAAAATAATCTGTAACCTTTGAAATTAACAAAATGCTTACAAAACTTTTGGTAAAATATGTTTGTTTGTTTGTAATAAAACCCTGGTTTTTTACAAAAAATTATGTTAAAATTACAAAATAAAATTAACAAACTACAAACTCATGTTAATAAATCTCATTTTTACAACAGTGTAGTTAACTGTAACTTAAAAAAAAGTTGTTGTATTTATAAAAAAGCTCAAGTTTTTAGATTAATGGAACGATAGGTTGACTAGTTAGTGGCTTTCTCACCACTTAATTTTACACAGGATATGAGATATTTAAATTTGTATAAAACTTTTGCTTAATACACATACTCTAATTGAGTACTGCATGTATGCTCAACTAATTTGCTTCTAAATATTACCACTTCTTCAGGAAATTACAAATCGTCGTCTTACTTCCTATTTTAAGATGTTATTGGATTAAGCTTAGGTTTTAAAAGACAAAACTAATTATTTTAATGTAGGTTTTACTCTATAGTAAGGTTGATTAAATTTAAAAAAAAAACAAATTTTTAAAGTGGTCCCGACTTATTCAGTATTCAAAAATAAAACTTTTCTTAAAATCCATTTAACTTTTTGTTTCAAACAATTTCACAAATTAGACATTAAGAAGCCTTTTTCCCAAAATATTTTTTGTACTAAAACATGATTCTTAAAACTTATTAAACAACATATATGGAGACTGTTGTACATAAAAGAATTTTTACAATTGAAATAAAACCACTATAGGAAAATTCAATAAATAAATTTGTATGAGATGAGGCATTACACAATATGGAAATTTCATACAACTTCACTTCACTTTACTATATATAAAATATGAAAACATATTGAAATGTGTTTTACCTATATTTGTTTTATAAGATTTTTTCTTAACAAACTGTCAGTGTTTTTAATGAAAAACGTTTTCTCGTATATGATTTTTTTTCTACATGTTTTATTTTATCTTCTAAAAATGCTTTTTGTTTTATTAAGATTTATTACCTAATAAAAAACATTAAATATTATAAAAAAAATTACCAGCTACATCTAATATATCTAATTTATTTAATAAAAGCTGTCTATAATTTATATTTTATTATTGTTAACACATTAATTAATAATTTAGACCAATCGTGTAATGATAGATAATGGATATGAATAAGGTATAGCGGAGGCTGAAAATTTAATAGACAAGCAGTTAATCCCCAAAATCATTTGGCTCAATTTTAGCCCAAGCCAAATATTTAACCAAGGGTTAAATGTTTGTATATATTTTTGTATACATTTATTTAACCCAGATATTGCCCCCATTCCTTTAAAAAACACCATACAAAATACTACTTTGTTTTGTATTTTTTGAAGTGCAGCTTGAACAATTGTAGGTGGGTGCAAATGGTTTATTTATGTTTAAAAACTGATTATTTTAAAAAAAATTCCAATTATTTCAATGTATTTAAAGTTTTAAAACTTTATTTGTTAGGTTTTATTACCATTACATAGTTGATGTTCTTCATTGAGAACGGCGGTATAATAGGGAGTAATATCGTTTTATTTGTTATTTATTAAAATAAATCTTTAAAACTTCATGAGGTGGTACAAGAACTGAAGGATTTGGAGAAAGTTGTAATTCAAACGGTAATAAATTGATAAACTCGGGCCCTGAATATACGGTTGACATAAATACCCTTCCCGGCAGTCAGCTGCAGGTATAAGCAGAAATACTGAAGAATGCAGAAGAATTTTTGGTACAATCTGATAAATATAATAGAGAAGATAATCTCCCGTGGTCAACGTCTGTAAATGCAGCAAAAACACTACCAAACAAACAAAATCAAAACAAAACAGAATAGAGAGCAAGTAAAACAAAAATATGTTTCCAAATTTACCTGCCTGGAATACTAAAATTGGTGTTGAATTATTTTTTTCAATATTTCGATGATAAAGTTATCGATTGTTCGAATAAGTATGCCGTTTAACTAAATTACTGCGAATGAAATTATTATTGGGCATGTATGTAGATTTGCCAAGACGTTCAATGTTTTGGGAGAATTACTCATAATGAGCTTGTGTCTAAAGCAATTACCAGTAATTGCTTTTCATTTATTATGCATTGTAATAATGATGACAATTTGAATCAAACTGACAAATTTTCAAAAATTTAGAATTTAGCCTTTAGAATATCAGTCGCTACATAGGCATTTTAGAGTCTTATAGAAAGGATACAAAAAGAGGCACTAGTAAACCAGCGTCAAAGTTACATGAACATTTTAGGTACGATAAGAAGTAACTTATCAAGACAAGTAAACGCGCTGTGGGTTATGTCATAAAAATTGTAACTTTATTTGTAAGAAATGCGAATTGGCCCTCCACCCAAAATTCTGCTTTGTTGTTTAACATACGAAATAATCATCATCAAAGAATCATTTCTGTCATTACTTTTTTTTGAATTTCTTTATAATAAATTATTTTTAGTAAAGACTTTTTATTAAAATGGTAGTTGGAAATGTCTTTTTTTTAAACATGCCCTTTGGTCAAAACAATAAATCATACAACATTTTTTAGAAAAACATGTTTAGAGTAATATTAATATCTCATCGCGGTTGACCTTGAGAGACGCTACAATATTATAACAAATATAATAGAATTTCCAGCCCAGAAATTCTTCTAAATATGTCAATAAATATCAGCATTGTTTACCCTATGTAGTATGTTTGAGACTTTTGCACACCCAAGGTCATCCGCCATGAGATAGCACTCTACCATGAAATTTGCGAGTAAAAATTTGTTTTACTAGGATTTGATTCCAAGAATATAAAACAAATTTGTTAATATTTAAATCAAACCATTTTTTATTCTTTTTGTTTCAATTAGCGAAATTTTCGGAAAAATATCAAGGAGTAGTCGGATTCTCCTAAAAATCCGTATATAGAGGTTTTTGGGGTCGCTGATAACGAATCTGAAATCAGAATGTCAAAATTCAAAATGGTAGATCCAAAATGGCGGACATATATATTTGTAAAAAAAAAAGACGGAATTAATTGAAAATCACCATAAAGGGGTTTTTGTGGTCGCTGATAATAAATCTGTAATCAGAATTCCAAAATGGTAGACCTCAAATGGCGGATATTTTTATCAAATATTGTCGAAATTAATTAAAAATCCGTAAGAGGTTCTTTTTAAAATGTAATAAAACATATTTTTATAAAATAGCTTAATTTAGTTTATTATAATTATATTTATATGATATTATTTAATACCTACATATATATTAAACAATCTGCGTCACTGGATTCGCTCGTTATATCATTATCAGAGCATGGGAAACCATCAGAAGATAGCAACAGTTTTATTGCTTCGCGGGACAAAGATTTGCTCTTTTTCGGAGCAACTTTTCTGAAGCTAGAAATTTACGGATCGGAAAATGCCCTAAGCCAATGGAAAACATCTTCCATCGTTTTCTCCTGAGAAAATTTCAAAATTTATTTATAAAATTTAAATATAACAGATTTAATACTATGTATTTTAAATTTGTACTATTTCTTTTAATTAATATCTTAGCAACGATTTCTTAATTCGCTAAAAGAATTGTCAACCCAAATAACCACTCTTCAAATTTGACATTAACACACTACAATGCGCATGCGGAGTTGTTTACACGCACCTACAAGAGGTGGGTCAAATATGTAAAATCGGTGTTAAATATCTTAGTAGTCACGAACGATTTACGCAAGTGAAAGTCTAGACACCGCTGTTGTAATAAACGTTTTGAGTTAAATCCGAGTGAATATAGTAAACGTCATGAACGCAACCTAGAAATAAAAAAAAATCTTATATTTTGTAAAGCAAAAACACAGATACGCGCTCGACATAGGCTTAAAATCGAGAGGTTTTTTACCACAACCGTGCCTGAGCGCCCAAGAATTTTTGTAGCTCCATTGTTCTAAAAGCTCGATTCAAAGTTTGCGATTTTAACAGACCGATCTTGTCGGTTACAATAACCCGTTGTACAAGCAAAATCTATGAAAAACAAATACATATCTGAATTTTAGATACCTTGAAAATCACCCTTCATCAAACCGCATAACAATCGGACACACCAAACACAGGTTATTCACTTTTAAACAATAAACAATTTTCCGCAGCGATCGCGTGTAAAGTACTACTGAAAGCGTCAAGTTTAAACTGATGTACAAGACAAAATATACGTATTTTATATAATATTTTTTAATACAGGATGAAGACAGGTATTAACTACCCATCCAACTCAAAATTTACCTGAAAAAAAATGTCAATTTTTGACGTTTTGCCGATATTTTCTAGAATTGAAACACTGTGCAACGGTCAAATCTTAAAATAAAATAAATTAATACTACGCTCGGCCAAAATTCCAGTTAAATCGGTTAAGAATAAATTTAAAACGTCGTTTTCATACTTATAGTCCCATTTCCAATCCATTATAAAACCAAATATTTGTCTGAGACCATGACAACCTTTTTTACGATTAAACAACAATGAATTTAATAAGATTATACACATTTGTTCTCAATTTCAGGCTTACGTTGATCTGGTAAAAGCGTGGGGCTGGAAATCCTTTACCATAATCTACGAGAACAATGAGGGTCTTGTAAGGTTGCAGGAGCTGTTAAAAGCACACGGACCCTACGAGTTCCCCATTACAGTTCGTCAGCTGGGTGAAGGCTCCGATTACAGGTAAGACATTCCAAGGTACGAGAATGATCCTGTTAACTCCCCGAAGCACAAAAAGCAAATAACCTTCATGAGCTGGCATTCAATAAAATGACGTTGCTAAAACAATTTATGTATTATAAATATGTACAGGACTAGCTCTTATAAACCACACTAAAAAAAATAATCGTATTTTATCATGCGAAGAGAAACATTTAAAGAAATACTTTTGACACGCTAATGCATTATCATCACTATTTTCATCTTTATCATTATCATTACTTTTCTTTGTCACTACAAATTATGTATATTAAAAAATTGCGCTTTTAACATAGCTAATAAAGAATTTTAGATTTGTTCTTTTTGGGTTTGGGTTTACTAGAGATTACAGAATCTAAACTTAACATAAAGAAATATTAAAACTATCTCTATTAGATTACTTGTTCCAATAGTGCTAAGAAAATAATTTTCTGTCCATGGTTGAAATATTTTTGTAAAGTTGGGGGCATAATATTATTGTACCAAGGATACAAAGAAGATAAATATCTAGCCGTATTATGTGAGAAGAGACCATGAATGTTGTTTTTTATAAGGTTAAGGTCTATTTCGGTTATCAGTGCGTATATTTAGAAAATAAACGCCAAAAAAGTTAAAACAAAATTAATTAGTTTTTTTAACAAAATTAAATTATAATGCATAATATTCTTTAAACTCAAAAATTTACGTGAGATTTTCAATGTCCCCCCCTCCCTTAAAAAGAGATTTGGTGAGATTTTGCTAGATCACTCCCCCCATTTTTATCTCACGTAATTAATGGATGCCCATTACCGAATCCAAGTTTGTGCTTGTCTACAATCAGACCATTTTTTTATTTTAACAGCATGAAAATGGCCATAATTGGTAAAGTAGCAAAAAGTGCTTGGTTTTTCTTAAAGTCTATGATAGGGGGTAGTTTATAAAAATATAAAAATGCTTTATCTACTTCAAAACCCAAATAAAATTCTGAAAAGTTGCAAAAATATCTTTACATACGGGACACTTGGAAATATGCAAAGAAATTAATTGCGCATTAAAATGGTAAACAAATCCCAATCATGTGGCGATCAGGGTACAATCCCAAACTATTAAATACTGCCGGAAAGTGGTTAAGTAAGTAAAGTACTTAACTATTATAAGTGGGTATGTTTAAATTTATTTCATTTTATTAATTTCTGCCAGGTTTTAAGGCTCCCTACCCCATTGTGCGATGCGTCGCGACTTCGCTAAACATGAAACCGCAGCTTGAAAAGATTAGATGCGTTTAAGTCTAGGAAATTAACCAATATTCATGTTTTTGTATGACATATTGTAAATTAAATTTCAAAATATAACATGAACTGTAATCACTTGGTGGGTAATTTTAAATTAAACCAGAACTGTAAAATTGTAATAAACCCAGTAAATTAATAATATATATAATATATATAAGACTGGTTAAAAAAAAATCGAATATTTGTTTTTCTTCAAAGCCCGCATTGAAATATCTTCCTAGTAGTGAAAAAAGAAGCCTGTGAAAATTGTAGCTCTTAATATTAATATTTAGAGGTCGCTCATCGTGAATTTCTATTTTACGTTTAAATAACTCAGGAATTCTTTTTTCTTAACTTTGAAATTTTATAACTCGTTTTTGAGTGAACATATTGGAATAAGCGACACATATTTTTAAAGAAAATTGAACGCTCTACAAAAAATGTGTCTTATAATTTTTTCATAAATTCACTTCTTTTATAGTTATTCAAGGTTGAAATTAGACATATAATAAATTTAACGTTTTTTTTTTCAATTGGTGGCATAATAATAAACCTTATCACTCATTATTGTACAGGATGGTTCAGTTTGTAATACATTAATTTTAATCGGTGATAAAGCATTAAAAATAAGGTAGACTTTCATAAAAAACATTTCTTAAAAAAAATAGTTTTCTCTTCATAACTTTTAAACCACAAAATTAATTTGGCACACAATGTAATATAGTCAGTGCCTTAATAATGATGTAGATAATCAGTGCCGCAGTTACTTGGGGGGCTGCTCCCCTTTTCACCTCAGTCTTTGACGCCACTGGAAATTTTAAAATAATAAATAAATGTTTAGGTCAAGTTTTTAATTAATGGAAAAAATTTGCTCTTGTAAAATTTTGATTTGGGGCCTGGTTTCTAAAATATTTGCTCAAAAATGTTTCCTCGCAAAATTACATTTTTAGATTGTCTGTTCAATTTAGAGAAAAAAAAACTACTGTGCTAAAATTTTAATTTAGGGCTTCGTTTTTGAAATATTTGGGAACACACTCCAAAAAAACTGCTGCAAAAGTATTCTTGAAGAAATAAATTAATTATTTAAATAATGAAGCACTAAATCAAAATTTTACATGAGTAGTTTTTTTCTCTAAATTAAACAGATAATCTAAAAATGTGTTTATTATTAAACAAAATTCCAGTGGCGCCTGAGGTGAAAAGAGGAGCAGCCCCCCAAGTAACTGCGCAACTGATGTTTTTTTAAATAATTATCCACATCATTACTAAGACATTGACTATATTGTGTACAAAATTTGATAAAAATTGATTGATTAAATTGAAGTGGTTTAGAAGTTATGATGGGGAAACGAGTTTTTTTTATAAACTTTGACGGAAAGCGTCTCTGCGAGGAAAAATTTTTGAGCAAATATTTCAGAAACAAAGACCCAAATCAAAATTTTACAGGAGTAAATTATTTCTCTAAATTAAAAACTTGACCTACAAATTTATTTAATATTTTAAAATTTTTAGTGGCGTCAAAGACTGAGGTGAAAAGGGGAGAAGTCCCCCCCCACATTATTATTAAGGCAATGACTATATTACATTTTGTGCCAAATCTGATGAAAATTAATGTTGTGGTTTAAAAGTTATAAAAAGAAAACTAGTTTTTTTGTAATCTTTGACGACCTGTATTTTCCTTAGGAAACATTAGAAATGTTAATTAATGAAAGTCTACCTTAAAATTAATGTATCACAAACTGGACCGCCCTGTATAATCTTTTTTGAAAATTTTATATAAATTATGTTTTTTTAAAAAAAATTATCGCTCGTTTCAATATGTTATTTAAACGTTACATTTAATATATGTCTAATTTCAACCTTGAATAACTATTAAAGGAGTGAATTTACGAAAAAATTATAAGAGACATTTTTTGTAGAACGTTCAATTTTCTTCAAAAATATTCCAATATGTCCACTCAAAAACGAGTTATAAAATTTCAAAGTTAAGAAAAAAGAATTCCTGTGTTATTTAAACTTAAAATAGAAATTCACGATGAGCGACCCCTAAATATTAATATTAAGAGCTACAATTTTCACAGGCTTCTTTTTTTTACTACTAGGAAGATATTTTAATGCGGGCTTTGAAGAAAAAAAAATATTCGATTTTTTTGAACCATATATATATAACTGTGAACTTTTCTACTATCCTGCGTACCTATATATTTATTGCAAAATTGTTTAAAATTGTTCTACGCCAGTGAGATAAGAACTTCTTATCCCACTCATTTTAAGTGAGATAAGAAGTTTATTAACGCACGCGTTTTTCTCTGTTTTTAACCAATCAAATAAAAAAGTCAAAATGTCAAAATAACCCTAAATTAGGTCTTAGACAAAAATAATTACCGTTTATTTTTTCATTTAGAGGCGTAGATAAAAATTTGTACAATATACGTGTGATAACGCTTTATTAACGTACTTTTGCGATTGCCCAACTCGTGCTACGCACTCGTTGGGCAAATTTCGCATGCGTACGTTAATAAAGCTCTTATCCCACTTATATCGTAAATAACTATTATTTAACTTATGTCTTTGTAAAAATATATACATTTTTTAAGCTATACACTATATTTCCATTTTCTCCAGATTTTTGTTGTTCCTTAGGGTCCATAAAGAAGCACCTGAAACTTTTTTTTTCTAAATTCCAAAGACTAAAAATAATTTATAATAACCTTTATCCTACCAAAAAGTATGCCACTGATCGACTAGGAACTTTAGACTAGTCTGGTTGCCTAATTTAATTTATTATGTTATGGTTGGTAACAACCAGATTCTGTCAAAAAAGTTGACAAACATTGTTTAAATTTACAAATTACAAAAATGACAAAATTTTCAATGGAAATTGTCAATTTGGCGTTTTTATTAATTGTTGGTTATGTCATTTTTGTACTGAAGGTAAATTCAAAAAAAAAATTGCCAACTTTTATGACAGAATCTAGTGCATTTCTTTCAAATTTTAGGTTATGTGCTCAAATTGTAAATATCTTAACTAAGGGAAGTGCTTTTGGATTTATTTACACAAATTAAATGTTTAAAGTTTAACCTGTGAACTGGTCCCAATTTTATCTGAGTAAACTGAAAGAAAAAAACCGATGAAAAAATTAATTTTGTGGTTATGGATTTTTTAAAATAGGTACTAAATTTTCTAATCATTGCTATTAGCTGGATGAGTAAATAAATACAAAAGGGTATTAGAGCCTTAAGGGCAAAAAACTTTTGTATTAATTGAGTTTTTACTTATTTTTTGCAAGAAAAATTTTTAGTAACAATTTTTTACATCTGGCAACACGCAGCTACTTTGTTGGTTGGTATCTATGTACTCACAGAACACAAGTGTGCAGAGGTAAACCAAGTGTGTAACCAGTGGCGTATCACAAAAAATATAAAAAACTTCTAATGCATATTTTTTCTTTATCTTTGGAAAAATATTTTTTTAAATATTTTTCCTTTACTCCTTATGTCAAAAGATATTCAGTATTTTAATATATAACATTAATTACATAACACCCTGTATATATATTAGGGTGGTCATTAAAAATTAATTTTTTTGCGACGCCCCCTAAAAAGCTTCGTTTTGATAAAAACACTTTTTTTAAATAAAAACAACACGTGCCTCAAGACGATCTAAGTAAATTTTTTGGTATAATCATGTCTTTTCTGAAAATATGGAATAATATTTTTTTTGAGATTTAAAAA